AGTGATGTTTGTCCAACATTTTACCAAATACCTGTAGGTTTTCCTAACATACAAGATGTTTTCATAAATAAATTGACATGGAACGGTCATAATGTCCTTAAACTTTTCTCTGAGAGATTCGCGACGACCAAGATTGTAGATAGCTCTGACGGCGCGTTTTTGTAAGATAAAGAAAATCAATGTCAGAAGCGTATCCCTCCACAGCAAAATGCCATACGGCATAATGCTTTGAAAGTAACTGAAATACACTAGTCTTGTCGTGTATATGTCGGTTAACTGTCGGATCTTCCGGACAGCTTAAGCTGCAGAGCTCAATCATCCCGCTGAAGATTCATTTTTAAATAAATGGGGCAAGTCATTTATGTACGCTAAAAATATGAATGTACCTAGTATCGAGCCTCCTTTTCCTCATTTATTAGTAAAAATCTTTGTATTTTAGATGAATTCCAAATGTTAGCCCCATGCCAATAGTGAGAAATATAATTATTGTAATTGGTAAAAATATGCTAATAATTGGTTTTAGGTATTGAAGATGAACCCAAAAAACCACTTAGAAATCATCTAAAAACATGATGAAGGAAGAGTGCAATGACGAAAAACGTATTCAGAAGAGTATTTGCAAAATGCTTTACAGGCAATACGAAGTGGTATGAGCAAAAAACTTGCTTCGAAAACATTCATGGTGCCAAGATCAACGTTGCAGTTTAGAACAAATTTCCCTGGTAAGAAACTTCGTCCTGGTCCATCAACTGCCTTATCAATGTCTGAAGAGCTAAATCTGAAAAACTGGTTGATTGGCTGTAGTAAAAAAGACTTCCCAAAGAGGAAATATGACCATAATCCTAGTGTTGTTGATCAAAAAAACGGAAAATCCATTAAAAAATGGGATACCGGGCAAGAAATGGTATAATTTTTGAGCACGTCATCCAGAAATCTCAATAAGAACTCCAGAGGCAATAACTTCCTCTAGCGCAGCAATGGTCGAAGCTGATATTAGAAATTGGTTTCAGGACATAGAGCAATATTTACGTGACAATCATTTGTTATTTTTCTTTGGATTTCGGATAATGGGTAAATGAAGAGTGAAATCTTCAAGTCTTACTTTGAAAATGTTTTTCATCCACATTTAATAGGAAATAGCATAGAGTTTCCTATTACACTTCTAACTTACGAAGTCAGTGAAGTCTGCTCTAAGTTTAACCTTTTAACCGCCAGACAATCCTGCAAAAAAAATGTGCCCCTGGCGCCATGTATTGCAACATGAGGAAATGTGTATGCAGAAACATGTAGAAATAGAATATAACCAATTGACTTTGGACTATTGCACGCTTTATTGGAATCGGCCCACGTGGCAAGGGTTGAGGCGTCATGCACACATAAATGTCCTACAGTCGGTGGCGCTGTGTGTCGGGTTGTTCCGTTCCCAATAAAAAGGTTGACCGGACCAATTGCTGACACACACGTCATACTCGTGAACGGGTGCCTTCTGCTGGGTCAGGTCGGCTCTCCCATCTTGTTGGTGGGCTGGTTTCATAAAGCCTTCGAAATAAAAACAAATAAATAGTGCCTAATTATTATGTAATCTATACTTTTGGTAATAATTATAGATGTAGTTAATTGTAGTGTGTAACTAGGTTCCCTCTTTTGGTATGGAAGCATGTCTAAAACAATGCCTTGTGGAGTAGCCAATACAAAGATTTTTAGTCCAACAGGGTTCGGTTTTCCTGGGCAATATTGCCTTATGCCACACTGACCGCTAAAAGGTACTATCATCTCATCGATGCTTAATTCAATATTTTTTTCTTGAGCGCGACACCCTTGCAAGACACACTGAAAAAGTGGATTTACCTTCCATATTTTATTTCTTAGTTTTTCTTCGTCTGATACATCAGTATCAAAAACTACTTTTAGACTATTTCTTATATTAAAATATCTATTTCGTGTCATAACCTTTTTTATTACCTCAATCCTTTATTTTTTAGACCAGAATAATGCTATTTTCGGCAAGTTAATAGCACTCATAACCATCTGAATACCAAAAAAAAAAACTTTCAGTTCTTTGACTGTTAGGCCCAAGGTACAGCCTTTTCTTAGTATATTGGTTCTATTTGTAGCCAATGTCATTTTATCTAGTATATCATCATTGAGGTATTGGGAGAAATAATCTTCAGGTGTCCATGACTCAGTCTTGATTTTTTTATAAGCAGGTTGGTAAAATGGTTGCTGTAAGGGTTCAAACTGACCGTTCCATGCGTCGGAGATAGGTGTTCCTGCTACTGCTTGACGTGAATGGCCCGCGGGTACCTCTGGTTCTTCTTCTACGACCAGTTGAGCGGGTGAGATTTCGGCCTCGGCTCCTAATTTCTGCCACAGATGATTGAAGAGACACATCTGACTACGCAATCTCTTCCTCATCTGAAGAGCTGGATGATGAAGAAGAGCTGGATTCTTCCTCTTCTGGTCTTGGTGTAAAACCAGTATCGTCATTCTCATCACCATCAGAGAGATCTATATCCGATTCTTCGAGTCTGAGTAAAAGTTGGTCATCGCGTAAGGCTGTAAAAAATATACTCTTTTAGAACCAATGTAATATATTTATGACATAAAGAATAAGTCAATTTTCATACTGAGAACCATTGTAATACCAGTATGACATTAAAAAGTTTTTGATCTTCACGCTCACAAAATATCACCATTTGAAAAAATAATCTGTTTATTAGTTACGTATTAGTACAAAACAAACACAGTTATTGTAACACATGAAATTATTCAATAGTAATTTTCGGATAACTTACCACGTGCTTCTGAACGACGAGCCATCTTCCACACGGCGACTCAAAGAAAGAGTTATTTGACGTTTCTGTCAAACTCAAAATTACATTTGGTTCAGTGTTTCTAGTTTACCAAGGTTGTAGAAATACCATAAAACGATTATTTCGACAAATATTTCACAGACGACTTTCGAACGAATTTTTAATTCTTTATGTAATATAGGTATGACGCAGGCATCCAGGAGGTTAAAGACATTGAAAGCTGGGAATATTGTATTTTACTACCTCTAGAAAATGTAAAAGTAGTTCGTAGCAAGTGGGTCTTTAAAATTCAAAATGTAAATAATGTCTTGAGTTATAAAGCTAGGCTAGTTGCTAGAGGTTTTAAACAGCAGGAGTCCTTTGATTTGTGTGATATTTATGCTCCAGTTGTGAAGTTTTCCACATTTAGATAGTTGTAGCAGTGGCAACAAAATTATATATGTATACCGGTATTTGTCAATTAAATGTAACGGGAGCCTTTTTATATGGAGAAATTAAAGAAGATGTGTATGCTAGATTACCTGAGGAGGCTTAATCAGGAAATAACAACATAGTTAAATTAAAGAAATCATTATAATGCTTAAAGAGTTCTCCTAATTGTCGGAATGAAAAGTTCAATTCAATAATGACTAAAGAAGGTTTTGTTAGGTCAAAGTCTGACTCATGTTTGTACGTACAGTATAATGGAACAGATAATTTTTTTATTGTAGACGAATTATTAATTTTTGGATTAGATTAAATTGCAAAACTAGTGTACGAATGGAATAACATAAATTAATTAATAACATGAATTATAAATTATGCTTTGACAATTGGTACACAAGTTAGCAGCTTATGGCTGAATTCCGTCAGGTATTGTAAATCGGAAACGCCTCCCTAACCATGATCTACCAATGCTGGACAAATGACAAAAAAAGGTAGAGGTTTCAACGTTGTAAAGGTCGTAAAGGTAGAAGACGTGGATATCCGTGGTAACCAGATTGGATAACAAAGCTGTCAACTTGGCAATAACCTATATATGTTGGAAAATATTCCAAGGGAGAGGTTCAAAGGTTCAACAGAACAGAAGTGCCCAAAAGCTGTGCTTATATATAATCGTTATATGGGAGGTGTTGACCTTCTAGAATACATGCTTGGTTAGTTAGAGTAGTGTAGCCTATAAGTTAAAATTGACTGCTCGAAATAAGTTGTAAAGACTTCAGTTTGCAGAGCGATATTTAAATTTTAATTTTTCCAATGTAATATTTGCTAATGAAAAGACCTTCAAATCGTCTGAACATGGTCAAATTGCGTTACGGACAATTAATAATACCGTTATCAAGAGGAACACTTAATAGAAAATAGATCCAGTGGAAGGATTTCTGTGGGTCTTTGGGGGTGTATAAATAAAAGTGGACCAGAAGAACTGATAGAAATTGGTGGTCATGCTAAATGCCGAAGGCTACAAAGCCATCTTGCAAGATGTTTTACTGCCCACGGCACAAATAGTGTTACCTGATATGACCCCATTACATTTCATACATGACAACTGTTCAATCCACATGGCCCGAGTGTGCAGAGCTTTGTTCCGGGATAACGCTGATCACATTGTCGAAATCGAATTCCCACCAAAGAGCCCAGACCTTAATCCCAACGAAAAATTATAGGGGCTTATGGTCCAGGCTTGGGATGTATATAATGCATAGTTGCTGAAGCACCCAACAATAAAAACAATGATCTTTTGCATAAAATCCGAAAAATACTTACTCCTATGGTAGCGACTTTCAAATCTACTGTTGAACCTGGCAAAGAAGTTATAATAGATGAGAGCATGGTACCTTGGAGAGTCCGGCTTATTTTTCGTCAAACCCATAAATACGGAATAAAGAATTATAAGCTCTGTTTGCCCAATGGTTACACATATTATAAGGAAGTACATATATACTTAACGAGTTGATGGCGTTCCGGGTCTAGGTCCCCCTTAACAAATCACTACGAATATAATGGACGGGCTAACAGAAAAAGGTCGCACTCTCTACAGCGATATTTGTGTGGCACAGTCCGACAGAACCACAAGAATCTACCAAAGCACAAGTCCAAGCAGAGAAAAGGTCAAGTGTTGGCTCTGAAGAATAGAACGGGTGTCAAATATATAAAATGGACCAACAAACGTACAGTTCATATGCTTTCGACCTGCAATAATCATACATGAGCTCTAGTGCCAATGCCGCATCGCTGGAGGCCAAACACTGTCGTGTAGATATTTCTGATAAGATGGCGTCGTACTATACTAGACTTAGAAAAACCCTAAAATGGTACCGCAAGCTAATCATTGAGATTGTCTATGGCACAATATTCATTCAAAAATTTGCAGCAGGAAAAAAAGTAGGCAAATTAGAATTTCGGGACCAATTAATAAAAGAGATGATTAGCAACCCGGCACCCGGCACTAATAATCAACTCGATGACGCTGCAGAGGAGGGTAGGACAAAGAAAGCCAAAACACAAGTTAGAGAAAACGAAAAGAAAGCTCGGAGATACCCGAAAGAGATGCAGACCTTGTTACGACCAATTTACAACAACCGAATCTGCAAGTATGGGTAGAATAAAATCCGAAACGCGTAAATACATTTTGCTCTGCGTGTGAAAAACCAATGTCTTTGGATTGTTTCAATGCTATTCATGCAATATAATTTTCATTCTATACCATCCATAATGGCGTTTTATTTTATATTATTTTCAATTTTGATTTAAATGTCTTATTATTACATTCTCTCAATAATATCATAAACAATTCGCATTTCGTACAATTTATTTCGTGTTTATGTATTTTTTTTTCTAATAAATAAATTATTTCAATACTGATTTTTGCTTTCTTTTCGAAATTATATCCACCTAGCTACACTATGAAAATTTGTCTATTACTACTCGGGAACGGTAAATACAACACTCTCTCAAAGCGGCGGAATTTCTTAGTACATTGAAAGTAAAGGGTGACGTGACCACCGGTGGTACACCTCGCCGTGGCAGCAAATACTCCGTACTTCACCGGTGGTACACGCCGCCGCCGCGCCGGTCTGAACGTGTTAAGTAAAAAATATTTTACCTTCTTAGTCTGAGTGAGACATAGGACGCATAGATTTGGGGATTCCCGTTTCATAGATGATTATTATAGAGGTAATTCCCTTTATTTATTTTTATACTAGATTTATATATTTTGAAATATTTGATTATATATATATATATATATGTATATAAAATTGTATATATATATATATGTATATAAAATGTATTTAAAAATGTAAAAAGCAAAAAAAATATTTTTATTATTATTAGTAGTGAGGAATCATAGACATACATATTTTTTTAATGTTTGGTAAAGGGAATTTCCCGAAAGCATTTTATTTAAAAAACATACTATTCACTCGTTCAAAATTACATTTGTATTGTATTGAATTTCGTTCGATAGGTCGACGTTGTCAATCATTGAATTATTACTATGATCATGTCACCGTAATTAAATATTGTGGAACTGGACGGACTGGATATTGTGCACTGAACTATGTTGGAACTGGGACGATAAGGTAATGAATAATACTCGCCAAAAGACGACGGGCAAACCGCCGGCGGAAGTCATGTTTGGATCGCTAATGAGCTCTGAAATCAGACCTATGCTTAATGAAATGATGATAAAAGTAATGAAGAATAAGACACAGAACTAATAAGAGAATCTGTCAAAGATAGCATTGATACAAAACAAGAAAAACAGAAATCCGCTGATGACAAAAACCGGCGCCCTGTGCGTGTTTTTGGAGAGGGAGATCTTGTAAAGATTTCAAGAACTTCATTTGCAAATCATGGCAAAAGTAAGAAACTGATTCCCCCTTATGTTGGGCCTTACCGTGTAATAGAAGTCCTAGGCAACGACCGCTATAGACTGGCTGCAATACCTGGGTTGAGTAGTACTAAAAGTAAACGCAGGACCACTGTAGCTGCCGATCGCATGTTGCCATGGGTTCACGTAGCCGCCTTAGATGTTAATAAGGACAATGATAATGATGATGGTGATGATGCTAATGTGGATACTAGTAGTTGTGACGATGAGGATATAGATAAATGAAATACTTGTGGATCACAAACATGATATTATTATGTGAATTTATAGTCAGTTATACATTTGAATGTTTTAATGTTATTTGTTTATTTTATGTCCGTAGAGATATTTTATAAAATTTATTTTTGCTCACAGCTACAATTGCTCAAATTCAAATTGTAAAAATCATTATATAAAATTTATTTAGTATAAGGAAATTGTGTTATTGTTTGAATGAATATAAAATACTGGACTGGACTAATCTGGTACTTATTTAAACAATTATTATTATTACTTCAATGATATGTAATACTGTTATGTAATCCCCTCCACTGTCCACGCCGAATAACGCAATTTACCGCATCTGTCAACGTCAACGTGGGTGGGCTCTCGCGATATCGCCGCGGCGCATTAAAATGACGATATCTCCAAAATATTGTATGAAAGATGTATATTAAGTTTATGTGTTCATAATCTGTAGTTTATAAGCTACATCGTGAGTATAATTTATGATGATTTACCAAATGATATATTGTTAATTCTAAGGTAAAAGATGGAGAAAGACGTTGAAAGAAAATATTTTGCATGATATTAAACAAATCATCAATTTTCTCAAATTACTTTTATTTTATTTACAAAAGAATATACAGTTTAATCATAAGCCGTTAAAAAAAAAACACGCTTTCATAGTGTTTTTTTACACTACAAGCGTAACAATCACTTGCCTCGTTTCTGCGACCTGAGCGCAACACAAAAAAAAGCGTCATGTTTATACTTCAATTCCGGGAGCACTGTGGGCCAAGTGGCAAAAAACAAAGACTCATTCTGTAGTTGGGTTCGTAATCTTATTACAAACAAAGGTTTAGCTGTTAGACATGTATACTTTACAAGAATCGAACAAATAACTAAGCACTTGAAAATAAGCGCTAAAAAACGTGCTCCCAAACTTTGCATCAAAGAGCTAATTTTGTTAGAAGTTTTTCTAATATTAATTTATATTCTACAATTTGATAATATTTACTCATCAAAAAATATAATCATTAAGCATACTACATATCAAAATCATTTAAAAATTAAAATCTAAAACAAACAATTTCTCTACAAAATGTAGAGATAAAATTAAGTGAAATAAAAATTTTGTTTACAACATAAACAGAAAAGCATTTTTAGGTAAGTGTTTATTTTTTAATATATTTTTTTTAATGGAACAACTAAAAATTTTAAACAATGTATAAACGGTAATTCTGAAATTAGTCAAGATTAACAGATCGAAAACGAACAAAAGTGTGGTATATATTATGTACATATTGATATATACACATAAAGATAGACAAATTGTAACGTTGTACCTTGTTTGCCCTAAAAATAGCTTCGAAACCATATAAATTATAAATAATTACAATAGATTATTCTAAAACTATTATTAAAATACACTAAATAAACAAATAGAAACACATCTTACTACTTACTAATTTAAAACGCACTAAAATAATTAATTTTATATAAAAACATTACGGAACCCAATATTAATTGTTTACGCTAAGGTCCTCGCTTCTATTGCGCCTACGCATCTCTAAACGAGTTAATAACTAGTCGTGTCGGCTCGTCTCGGGCGCATTCGTAAAATCCAACGAACAGTCAACTTAAAGGCATCAGAGGTCACGGCTGTGTCACTCGATCGCGGACGACCTACGTTGCAAGATCGTACTTACCTACCTAGCTAAATCTACCTTAAATCAATTATATAAATTGTAATCGGAATTCCGCTGGGGTAAGTTTCCATGTATTGCTTAAGTGTTGCTATTGTAAGGTGTTTCTTCTTCTTAATTTCTCGCTAGCAGCGGCTATTCCTTTTTTCTTTGTCTGCTGGGACACTGTGACCTTTGGACCCGGCTACGTGGTCCGAGCTCTGCTAACGCTTGCCTTGTATCTGCGCTTCCAGGATTTACGTTCTGCTTTTGACTTCGCATCGCAGCCATCTACCTGGCGGATTTATGTTCTACCATTGACCTCGCGTCGCGGCCATCTACCTGGCGGCGAGTGGAAGACCAGACCTCCTTCTACCTGGGAACTACCTAGGCCCTGCTGAAGACCTGGAAGTGCATTTGGAACGAGACCGGACCGCCTGCAGAGCTACTCCCCGGTTCAGGCCAGTGTTCTCAGCGTACCTATTACCCCGAACCTGGACGTGATTGGGGCAACAGATAATTGGCATTAAAAGAGTGAACTACTTCTAAAAAAGTGTACTTTATTTGGACCCCTACCTACCTACCTGCCGGCCACCTGACTCCTAAAGGAGGCAAGTTGCCGCAAAATAAAATATATAGCTGTAATGTAATTTAATATGTAGGTATATACTTATAAATACTTATACTTTATATTATGTATGTAAAGTAATAAAACATGGGTCAAGGCATACGGATTTGCTGCAACCAACACAATACGTGTGCACCCGTTTTTTGCACACCTTGCACACCCGCCACTTGCGATAGCTGTTTTGCAACGGGTACTCAGCCAAGCGGTGGGTGAGGTCGGCAGGTCTATTCTGTGTGGTTACAGCGGATGGAAGCGATGGAAGAGTGTTTCGAAAGGAGAGATTTAACGAGAGTCATACGGAAATTGCGATGTGAAAGAGAAGACGAATGGTGATGGATTATATACGAATTTAAAATAGAGGTAGATACATTTAATAACCTTGTGAATATTTTTTTATACCACACCCTTGTTCGCTTTCTTTCTATGGGGTACATGGCAAGCATCTGGTCCTTTTTGTCAACCCCACCCATCATGATATTGTAATCCAATATCAGGATGGGTTTGGTTGACTGGTGGACTTGCCTAACCGCACTGCCATGGTATGGTGAGATCATAGCGACTCTATTAGTATCCCTCCATACCATGACATCGACGTCTCCCGAGGTCAGACCAGTGATTTGTACCTTGTGCATGTTCCCCTTTGTAAGATCATTAAGGGCCGGCGGAACAAACTGGCAATTTGTCCGCAACGCAATCAATTCCAGAAGCCTTGAGACGCCGAGCAAGACTTGGAGAATTGTAAAAGTTGTCCATCCACAACGTGTGTCCTTTGTTCTCAAGACCATGTGTAAGTCTTAACCCTTTGACGCATAAAACAAGAATACGTAAGTTTTTATATTTATGACTACGTTATTTAGTTTGTTACAAGGTAATTAAAATATGTGTATATTAAAAAAATAAAAAAAAAACCGACAGATTTTAGGAAATTACTTGGGACAAATGTGTCCCAATATGCCTTATAGGGCGTCATTTATTATCTTGTGAGGTACTTACTATTATAGCAAAATCAAGATTTTTCTGATAGTAAAAAACTAAACTCTGTAAAAAATAACAATTTTATTAATATTTTCATGAATGGAACCGTGCAAAACAATTTCTTGTTGCTGTGAAATATAAATTTACATTACAAATGTCACATATATTGCTGGTACGATTTTCTACTCCACTCTTTACACACTGCACACATCGTTTACGTGAAGATCCCTTTATCATTACCTGTGAAGGTAAAGACTGTTTGTCCTAAGTTTTGAATCCGCTTTTTGGTCATGGAAGTAGATGGCAAGGCATGTTTACGTATAGAAAAATTACCGATCATAGCCCTAGCCACAACTTGACGATATTCAAGTGATGAGAGCAAATGCCCTTCTACGCGATGTTGCGCATGCAGTTTTTCATAAACAATGTAGGAATTGTTCATAGCGATGTCCAATAAATAAAAAAAAAGCCGCAGGTAGTATTTGATTTTGGACTTCCTATCAACTTCGTATGTGACCTTCTTCTGGTCCATGAGATCTACGCCACCCATGTTTTTATTGTATTTATGGACGATGTCAGGACATGTGATCTCTAGACATTGTGCTGATCCTATTTGTTTACGTTTTACCTTTCGAGTAGGTACCGGTGATAAAAAGTTGGTGAGGAGATGCACAGCTTTATTATCCATCCACTTGACAAAAGAAATTCCTTCGAAGCTAGTAGCGTAGATATCGCCTCTCTTCATATCTTTATCTAAAGGTAAATTTTTAGGATTATTTTTACGTTGTGTTCGGACAGTGCCACATGCCTTCAAATTTTGTTTAGCAAGTTTATATTGCAGCATGGGAGAGTTAAAAAAATTGTCAAAATATATTTCACATCCAAGACCCACTAAAGCTTGTGTAAGATCAAGGACAACGGATTCTCCCAGTCCAATTTCGGGTCCTGAATTCTTTTTTCCAGTATATAAATCGAACTGGAATAGATATCCGGTTTTAGAATCGGCACGACACCACATTTTAAATCCTCTTTTTATTGGTTTATTTTGCATGTATTGCCGCATAATATTGTGACCTTTGAATTTTACCATATGTTCATCAATTGCTTGGGTTATTGTATTATTCATTGCTGATTGGAAACTTGAATTAAAATAGTTCATTACTAATCTTATTTTGTAGGCTCTATCAAATGATGATGATGTTGGATATGGTTGGGACGCATTGTCACAAAAATGTAGGTTTCTTCTGATTTCTTCGAATCGTGATAAAGGCATTACTTTAGCTATATAAGGTACACCCATGTCAGGTTCAGTGGACCAGTAGCTTCGCAGTGTGGGTAATACGTGGTAGCCCATGACATAATTCATGCCAATGAAAGCTGTTATTTCTTGGAAATCGGTAGTGAACACCGAGCCGTTTTGATGAGCATAACGTAAAGACTCTGGTATTATTAATCCCTCAATCAATAATTTAATATTTGTTACTGCCTCAAATATATCTATAGGTTTCAGAGACTGTAATTCTTGGGAAATGTTTATCTTACCAAATTCATAATTGGTGTCAGAAAAAATATACGGTTGATAGATATTATTTTTCCACTTGAACTCGGGAACCGGATCACGTGATAATGAATAAGAGTCTGAAGACGGACCTGGATTTTGAGTAGATTCTGATGGACGAGGTGGCCCAATTACAGCTTCAGAAAATCCAGCTTGCATGTCCTCTAATAAAAATGACTGGTCTTCGTCATCCAAATTGAGTGCATCTTCAGTGTCGCTTGTTTCAGCCATGAGATATTCCTCGACTTCGCAATCAGCTAAACAGAAAATCCTATTTCCTTTGCGCGCCTAAAACAAACAAATTAAGTGTTTACATCTTGTGTAAAATCACAAAATATGCAATAAAACGTTACCGTAATGTATTATTAAAATTGACCTTTTACGCATATTGGGACAAAGGCGTCCCATACTTATAATTTCATATTTTCGTTACTAAAATGTTACTAATTATGACAAATAATAATAACAACATAATTATTACTTGCCATTCTCATAAACTATTCACTAAACAGTCACTGGGTGCAGCAAAAATGTAATATTATTCACTTCAGAAAAAAATCAAAGAAGCGCGGCAAACTTTCATTACCATAGCTTTCGAAAAATGTTTCCCTCCTCGATTCTGGTGGAATTTGACGATTTGGAAACGTTTTCCAATCAAATTGATAAAAACTATTTGGCTGGTGCGTTTCCGCCGAAGCAACATCCACCACAGCAGACGATGTGCTAGCCGTAGCGGGCGTATTATTGTTCGTGGGAGTTTGTGGAGGCACATCATGGTCGTCCATTGGTGTCTCCAGCGTACTTCTAAAATCCCTTGGAATTAAGGGAGACACTACCTTATCGTCGCTTTCGTCAGAGCTAGGATCGCTTCCTGTAACAAATAATTAATAGGCTTAGATTGGTCTACGCCAAATTGTGTACAAGGTGTGGTAAAGATCAAAAATTTCAACCAAGCTGAAACTAGTTGCTACATACCATGATGTAGTGCGAAGTCAATATTGTTATCATTTAAGTTCTGACGAGATCGAGGACAAGAACGCACCATCGGCGACCAAGATGGCGTGCTCAGGACTAACTGGCCACATTCCACAATCCTGAAACAAAAAGTTTTGTAGTTGGTACCCATCTTTTTAGAGAAAAGAAAAAAAAAGGAATCTGGGTACTTACATTGCCGGCGAGGGCGGCATCTCTAAAACGGGAGATGGGCCCTCACAAAGTACCATCGTCGATGAGCCGGATGGCGTGCTTAGGCCTGACAGGCCACATTCCACAAACCTAAAACAAAAAAATGTAGTTGTCAACCATCTCTTTAGAGATAAGAAGAAAAAGGAACCTTGGTACTTACATTGCCAGCGAGGGCGGCATCACTAAAACAGGCGATTGGCTCTCACGAGACACCATCGTTGATGAGCCGGATGGCGTGCTCGGGGCTGAAGCGGTCGGTGCGGATGTGGGAGCCGTTTGAGGTCTAGACCTAAAAACATGATTTATTTTTAATTATACTTGCAAGTAATGAAAGTAGTACGTATTCACAATTAACATACTTAAATAAAACTACTTACGGTTGCCACACGCGCATTCGCTTGGGATGAAGGGAAGTTTCAAGACCCTCACCGATCGGCATCTCCGTTATGTCGCAAATAATAAGCCTAAAATTAAATATATACATAAAGTTCATCAGCATGGGGCATCATTTGTAATAAATATATACATCAAGTTATTTCTAAATACGATAAGAGCAAAAAATTGTTAGTAAAATAAAAAGCTAACTCGTCAATGGAGGAAGGTGCAGGTCGCCTGTTGGGGCCTTGGGGTCTAGCGCAGCTACCACGACCACCCCGACAACCACGACTACCCCGACCACCACGACCGCCACTAGCACCAGTAACACCACCACCTCGTGAGACCTCCATCACTGCTGGCACCGGCACCCGCACACCTCTACCTCGTCGCAGTCCACGAGTACGAGCACCACGTGTCATACTAGTAAAAGATATAAAAATGCAAACAAACCAAAAAAGCACATGCGCGTTTAAAAAAAATACCAATAAAAGATAAAAACAAAAATGCACGGAAGAAACAATATCTAATAAAATAACACAAAAAATATTACAATACTCAAAATAGAAATCAAAATCCGCTCAAAAGTCGAAGTACGATGACCTTGAGCCCGTCTGTCGACATGCCAGTAGGTGGCCGATTTATGTTGCGTATTTTAGCTTTATTCTTTACGCAAAATCTTATCGAAGATATTCAAATTAATTGATGTTATTAATGACATTTGGCTGTTACAGTAGTATTTTTTATGATTATAATTGAGAAATGATCTTTTGTTTCATCTTAAGCTAGTTTTCTCGTTTGTGAGAAAGATGGTTCACAAACATTTTCACCTCGGTATGTGAGAAAGAGAGCTCGCTACTTCCGTGACTTGAATATGATTTTATATGTAGGTATTTATCGTTTGTGAGAAAGATGGTTCACAGACATTGTCACCTCGGTATGTGAGAAAGAGAGCTCGCTACTTCCGTGACTTGAATATGATTTTATTTATTTATTTATTTATTTATTTATTTATTTATTGAATGGTGAATCAACAGCTACATTACATAGATTTAGCAGAAAAATAGTAACAATGAGCCACTTATAGATTCACACGAATACTGACTTAATAGGTAACAGCTAAGACAAAATTAAAATTATAAATACATTAAAATCAGGCACACAGCAAGAAAATTATTAAAATAAAGACAAAAAAAAAGTGAATACATATTTAAAAAATAAAATAAAATAAATAAAAAATCAGCCATTAAAAAAATCTCCACTTATCATCGTTCTAGCTTTCCTAAGGTTTGTACAAAAGATATCTATATCATGCTTGCTACTGATGTCGTTAAAAGTACGACAGGCTCGACACAAGAATGAGTTTTGCCTGTAGTTACTATTTGCTACCGGAGCACAAAGAGGTGCGTGCTTCCTAAAGGATTTCGACGGAACATTGAGGGACAACTTTTCAAGGAGTTCAGGGCAGTCAACTCTACCATTCGCTATGGATAGGATGTAAGTAACATCAGCTATCTCGCGACGTTTATAAAGTGGAAGAAAGTGAAATTGTTTACAGAGTTTAATATAGTTATCATACCCAGGTTTATTAGGAATTGCCAAACGAAAGCACAAGAATTTAATGAATTTCCTTTGAATCCTTTCAATTCTTGCAATATATTTATCATATCGGGGATTCCATATTTGCGATCCGTATTCAAGTATGCTTCGCACATATGCACAGTATAGAATTTTGAATGTTTTTGCATTCTTAAATGGGGCTGTCGATCTCATAATAAAACCCAAAGACCTCGATGCTTTTGCAATTATTTTCTCAATGTGCTCGTCGAATAGGAGTTTCGAATCGTGTACAACACCTAGATCACGAACCGAATAGAGTCTACCAAGCAGATGGCCCTTGAGGTAATATTGGGTGGATACATTGTTTTTCTTTCGACTAAAGGTTACCACAGAGCATTTTACCGGATTAAGATCTAATTTGTTTTGTAAACAATACCCATCCAGTCTACCAAGATCTTCCTGAAGGCGTTTAGCATCCGCCGCTGACCTGATCGTTGTGTAAATTTTCATGTCATCAGCAAAGCAAATAACTTTGCTATGGTGGAAGCAATCGACAATGTCATTCACAAATATCAAAAACAGCAACGGACCAATTAGAGAGCCCTGTGGAACACCGCTGGGTATAGTAACCCAGCCAGACATATAGTTGTTGATAACGACAGCCTGAGATCTCTTATCAATGTACGAAGAGAACCATCTAAGTAAATCACCCCTTATACCGATTTTTTGAAGCTTACGAAGCAGCATACTGTGGTCTATTCTGTCAAAACATTTACTGTAGTCAGTATAGACCACGTCGACCTGGAAGCCTGCATCCATGGACTGGGATAGATAGTCGTTAAAAACAATTAGGTTAGAATTTGTAGAACGACCCTTCACGAATCCATGTTGACTGCAGTTGAGGGATTGTTTAATTGCAGAATAAACCTGGGTATACACGACTTTTTCGAAAATTTTAGAAATGATACACAGTTTAGATATTGGTCTATAGTTCACTATATCAGTTTTGGAGCCTTTTTTGTGAACAGGTGTAATAAACGCACATTTCCAAATTTGAGGCACCCGACAGCAAGACAGAGATTTTTGAAATAAGAGGAATACAGGTAAGGCTATACTATCACTAGTCTTGATAAGGAATATGGATGTGACATTGTCTGGACCAGCAGATTTACATGGATCCAGCCCCGATAAAAGCCTTCCCACATCTGCTACCGTGAAGTCCACACGGTCAATGTCTGAGGGTTGACCTATCTCAGATGGATCACAGTTCAGTGAGGAGTTACTAAAATCGATTGACTGATTCAGGAAAGTTGACAGAAAATACTCAGAAAACGCGTTACATATTGACTCGCCAGAAGTTAAAAGCTTATCTGAGTACCTTAAGCTACTGGGTATATTATTACAACCTGAGCGTGCTTTGTAATAGGACCAGAAATGTTTAGGATTAGACGCGATAGAATTTTCGATAGATTCTGTATACTGCTTGTAGCACCGCCCTTCAAGTCGTCGAGCCCTATCGCGCAACAGTTTAAAAGTCTCTGCATCTGATTTACGCTTATACGTTTTATATTTATTGAAATATTTTAGTTTTTCTTTTAAGACTTTACGTAATGATGTACTGTACCAAACCGGGTAAGAATTACGATTAACAGATTTAATGGGAATATGTTTGTCACGAAGATTGTTTACAGAAGTATAGAAGAAGGCCACCGATTCCTCTAGCGTAAGCTTGTGAAATTCGGTAACCCAGTCAACCCTAGAGATCTCTTCATTGATAGAAGTATAGTCACCCTTATTATATAGGTATTTTTTCTTTGGTTTAGGTGGTAAAAATGATAACTGTACGAAATTAATTGTTATGGATAGTGCTTTGTGATATGGATCAATTGGTACTAACGGGTCGTCCACGCCAATAACGGTCACTGAGTTGTTCGAGTAAACAAGGTCTAGAATCCTACCATAATTATTTAAGACTCCATTGTATTGATAAAGGTCGTGTAACTGCATCTCATCAACTAGTAAGTATTCGTCGTTATGTGATAAGTTTGAGGGTAGATAAAAAGAATCGCTTGTATGTAGCCAGTCAATACCGCTTAGATTAAAGTCGCCCAAAACGATGAACTTATCTTGAGGATTGTTCAAAATTGTATCGTTCAACTTAAGTAGATAATTTTGTAATTGCTCAGTAAAAGAAAATCCTTGACTTTCCCTACAAAGATATAACACACAGATGTTAATTTTAGTTATCATATTACGGCCCTGTTTTATTGATAATGTTACCCACAGATCCTCTGCCGATGAATGAAATGACTCGCGTGAAACCACAGGAATATCAGTCCGTACCGCAATTAATACGCCCCCTCCCCTTGTCTGGCCAGTCCTACCATAATCACGATCTCTTCTCCACACTGTATATCTGTCATCAAATAATTCTGAGCTATTGATACCATCTAAAAGCCAGGTTTCAGTAAGAACTATCAAGTCGTAATCATTTAAGCATAAGTTTCGTAGAAACATAGTTGTCTTGGATCGCAGACCACGGACGTTTTGATAATAGACAGTTATGTTACTACTTTTCCGCGCCATTGATCACTATTAAGCCACTCACTGAATTAGATATCAATGTTAATGAACGTCTATAATCACAATACGCAAATGCTATAAAGCAAACATTTCCGTCCACCTTGAAGTAGGAAAAGCAAATATTCATACACTCCGTCGAAATCCCCAGGAGCACACCA